GCAGAGGGAGTTCGAAGATGCAGGGGCAGAAACGCCTTGGAGCGTTTAGGAACAGAGAAGCCGAGCCAGAGAGCAGTGAGGAGAGTGATTTGGGGTGAGTGCAGAGAAGAGGCAGGAGCCAGGTCGTCGTGTAAGGCCTTGGAGACCGAGGTCAGAGTGTGGACTGTGTTCTGAGAGCAATGGGGAGCCAGTGACGGTGTGGAGCAGGAGTGGTGATGTAACTGAAGGTCACCGTGTGCTCATTGCCACGTTGTTTGTAACAGAAGATTAGAAACAAATTCCATCAGCATGGAGCTGGGTAGATAAATTTTGGTTCATTCCAGTGGTTTGCAGCAGTTAAAAACTGTGAGGCTTCCATTTTTCTATTAGGAAAAAAACAAACTGTGAGGCTTATCCATTCATACTGCTTTAGAAGGATTTGCAAGGTACCCCAAATGGGGGGAAATCCCAAGAAACAGAATGGAGTACAATGTGCTGCCAATGTATTTTTCAAAGAGGAGATGGATATGGATGTAGGGATGGCTGTAATGTTACACCACATTAAGGATACGTAAGAACCTGGTGAGGGGTTTCTTCTGGGGAGGGGAACTGAGGCACAAGGTGACTAGGAGGCTTAGTCTTCGTAGTATATACTTTTGTGTGTTTGAATATCTTACTAGGTATCTGTCTTACTTATTCAGCAAAAGAATAAATTGGGGCCCTGGCCAGTGTGGCTCAGTTGGTTGAGCATCCCACGCACAGAGAAGTCGCTGGTTTGATTCCCAGTCAGAGCACATGTCCAAGTTGTGGGCTTGATCCCCAGTAGGGGCTGGGCCGGAGGCAGAGATTGATGTTTCTCTCTCCCTTCCTCTCTCTCTAAAATAAAAAACAGACCTAGGCGGTTTGGCTCAGTGGATAGAGCATGGGCTTGTGGATGGAAGGGTCCCAGGTTTGATTCCGGTCAAGGGCATGTAACTCGGTTGCAGGCTACATCCTGGCCCTGGTTGGGGTGTATGCAGGAGGCAACCAATCAATGTGTGTCTCTCTCACATCGATGTTTCTCTATGTGTGTCTTTCCCACTCCCTTCCACTCTCTCTAAAAATCAATGGAAAATATCCTCGGGTGAGGATAAGTAAATAAATTCAATTTAAAAAAAACATACTTTTAAAAGACTAAAATGTGGTCAGCCTGTTCACTGTGTGGAGAGGGTGTGAGAGCAGAAGCAGAGAACTGGTTGGAAGACTCTGGCTGTGACCTAGCTGAGAGATGGTGGTGAGCTTCACCTGTGAGGTTGGTAATGGGATGGGGAGAATACACCTTAGAGGCAGAGCCAGCTGCTCTTGGTGCATTCCACACTGACATGCCCTAGAAGCTTCGTGCATTAGAGATCAGAACCAGGCTCCCCTAACTCCCAGACTTCAGGCGCCCGCCCATATCCTCACACAGCTGTTAAAAATGATTTTTAATGACCATCAGCACAAAGTCCCCTGAAGAAGCCCTCTAGTTTCTCAATGGAGCTTTCTTTCCTTGCAGAGAGATGCCAAAGGCCAGTACCTGTTTGACCTTCTTTGCCACCACCTGAACCTACTTGAAAAAGACTATTTTGGGATCCGCTTTGTGGACCCAGATAAGCAGCGGGTAAGTCATAGTTCAAAGCACAAATGGAGGAGAGGGTTGGTCAATGAGCCTGACGCTTTGAGCTGCCACTCATCTTCAGAGTTTAGGAGTCAGGGACCAACCAGACCCTACAGGTAAGAGTCATCTCTTCAGATCATATTATGAGAGCCCGGCTGGTGTGCTCGGTGCTTGAGTGTCAACCTATGAACCAGGAGGTCACAGTTGGACTCACCAGCCAGGGCACATGCGGGCTTGATCCTTGGTGGCTGACGGGCAAGAGGCAGCCAATCAATGATTCTCTCTGGTCATTGATGTTTCTATCTCTCTCTCCCTTCCTCTCCGAAATCAACAAAAATATTTTTTAGTCATATTCTGAGACCTTGAGACACCATAGCAGAGCTCACCTAGTTGCTCACCATTTTACAGAGGCTGAAATGGCAGCCTGGAGAGCTGAAGTGATTTGCCCAAAGTTGCCCAGTTGGAGGTAGAGCTGGAGTTGTGGTCTCAGGGCCCAGGTCACAGGCTGAAGCCCTCCTGCCCCCTTTCTAGTACCTGGGCCTCATCTGAGGTGCCACGCCACCCCACTCTGAACAGGACAAAGAGCCAAATTGGCACGGGCCTTGCAGGGCCTTGCAAGTCTTGCAGTTCTTGTTCTGTTCTACACTGTGTGGTCGGCTCGGCAGACACAGGGCACTGCCAAGGACTGTGACACCCCTGACAGGTAGAACAACCAGTCCGCTATCCCAGCAGCTGCTCACCTCTCCAGCTTCCCCTCCCTGACCTTCCTCCTCCCTGCGATGGCCCTGCCAGACCGCTCTGTGGCTCCCCACGTCATCCTTGTCTTTTCCCAGAGCCTTCACCTATACAGTCCCCTTGCCTGAATAGTTCTTCTCACTTCTCCATGGTCTACACTTTTCTTCTGGCTCATGGCCTTCTCACACATAAGGTCTTAGCCTAGACCAGTGGTCAACAAACTTGCAGCTCGGCAAACCGCAGCTCACGAGCCACATGCGACTCTTTGGCCCCTTGAGTGTGGCGGTATTTTGTGGAAGACCCACACTCAAGGGGCCAAAGAGCCGCATGTGGCTTGCGAGCTGTGGTTTGCTGACCACTGGCCTAAAATATCCCTCAACTTCTGTCCTTGCCCCCAATAGTTTATTCTCAACACAGCAGCCAGAGGGATATTAGCCGCGTTGCCAACCACGGGCCTAGACTTTTATTTCTTCCAGAAGTCTTCCCTAAGCCCCACTCTGAATGAGGGTCCCTCCTATGTGCCCCATATGCCCTGTGATTGCCTATGTCCCCTGTAAGTTCTGTGAGGGCGTAAACATTATCATATTCATTACTACATCCCATGGCAGTGTCCCGGGGCCTAGAAGGTGGTGGTATGCAGGAAATATTTGCTGAGGGCGTGATGAGAGGGTGAGTTTATGGCTAGTAGTGCCATATTTCCCCTCCACTCGCCCAGGTGGCCCACTAGCAGACACCTGCAATTTCTACAACACTGTCCATCAGCCCTTTGCCCTCTGTGGCTATGTACTGTCTGGCATGAAGTGGACAGTATGTAGAAGCATTCAGTCCTCAGTGACTCCCTTCCCTATACCCCTGCCCACCACCCAGTCTTGTCTACCAGCCTCCAAAAACACAATCACCATGAATCCCAGAGGGACCCCCCCTTTCATGGGTCCACTAATTTTCTTCACAGCTCCAAACATGGGCTTCGTCTCTGTCACCACGAAGGGACCCTGGAGAGAGCCTCGGAGGGTGCAGCCTCCCAGCAGTGGCCAGGCCACAATAACCAAGGAATGAATGGGCATGTCACACCAGGCCAGAGTCAGGTGCCGTTTTGTTCTCTGGTGCTCTGAGCCAGCTGTTTTCAACTTTTTTCATCTCATGGCACACAGAAACTAATTACTAAAATTCTGCAGTGCTCAAAAAAATATATATACATTTTTTTGCCCATCTGACCAACCAACCAACCAGGTATAATTTTGATTCATTCACACTGTCATTTTTTTATTTGGCAATCTAGGGGAAGAGAGGCCAGTGCCCCTGACTAAGTAGTCGGGTATCGCATGTTGCAGAACTCCGTGCCACACACCGGTTGCAAATTGCTGCTCTAAGCCCCGTGTCTCCAGGTCCATTTAGGGTGCTAGGGCTACACACCTGAGCTTTAGGAGGGACTCAGAAGGACTGCGTCCTTTTACTCTGACAAGCCCCGCCCCATTTGCCGACAAGTTTTGCTCCTCCTGGCTCAGCAGGATGTTGGGCATCATCCGTGTTTGGAAGGTCGTGTGAGGTCAGTCCCTCACCTGTAAGGGCTCCACTGCCTTGACATACTACTGCCTGGACCACAGTATGAGATTCCAGGAGGTGCCAGACACCGAGCAGCTGTGTGTCCTCACACACTGTTGGTGCCCATTCGCTGTGTGATAAGGGACTGTTTTTACACCGGGGTCGTTTGTTGTTGATTTTTGGATTCTGTTGGTTTGAGCTCTCTCTCCTTGAGAAGGAAAGTCAGTTACCTAAGGTCTGTCTCTTCATGTCCCAAAGAGGGTAGCATAGGAGGAAAAAAGGTCACAGTGTCCTGTTCATTATTTTTAAGTTAGGTCAGAATGTGCCTAAGGAGAATAAGAGTGTATGTGAAGTGATGAGGATTAAGAGCAAGAGACAGATAAAGGTAAGGAAATGGGGAAAGAGAAATAAACGCTTATGGAGTGGCTGCAGTGGGCTGGGCTCTGCACTGAGCACAGAGCTACATTCTTCAGCTGATGGGTATTGAGCACTGAGTTGTATCGGGCACTGAGCTATGGGCTTCACATATGCTGTTTAATTCTTGCCACAAATGAGATGAGTGTCCACAATTATACTATCCATCTCCAGATTAGTAAATAAAGTCTCAGGCAGGTTAAGTAACTTGCCTGCGGCAGGTGGCAAAACCTGTCTCCACCTCAGACCTGTGCAACCCAGAGCCTATGTGGTTCCTAAAGCTCCATGTTGAGTTCATACCTGAGAGCCTCCAAATTGTGATGATCCTTTGCCTTTAGTGAGGGGTAAGGAGAGCAGGGAGGCTGGGAGGGCTCCTGAGAGCTTGCGGAAATGGCCCTGTAAAGAAGTGCTGTCCTGTGCCCTAACCGGTTTGGCTCAGTGGCTAGAGCATCGGCCTGTGGACTGAAAGGCACCAGGTTCGATTTCGATCAAGGTCATGTACCTTGGTTGCAGGCACAACCC